TCTGAACCTCGATTTTCTTAACAACAAAACGGGCATATAAGGTTCTCCAGCCTTCAGGGATAACACTTTGATACCTAGCTAATGTAGCCTGACCTCCATGCTGTGACTTTATGATGCATTTCTGAGAGCCTTTAAGGAGCATTTTTGTGTTCCAAAGAGCAACCCCTTGCTGCAGACCCCTGAGGCAGCCCCTCGGCTGCTCCCCTCTTGCTATCATGTTGTCACTGCTTCTTCAAGCCACTATCCTCTCCATTCTATTGTCCCAAGCATGGGAAGCATTTCCTTCCTATTTTTCCTCCAAGCCCCAATCACTCAGGCTGTGTGATGTTTGTTAAGTCTTAACTAAAGGCCTCAGCAAAAACTCAAGGAGTCTCAATATTAAAAAGGACAGGACTATCAGCTGTCCCCACTCCAAAGTCCATCATTCTTGCCCCTTCTTGGGGGTTCCACTGAGAAGGAAAAGGGAAATAGAACTTCTTGGAGGGTGAGGGGACAAGGAGAATGTCTGGGGAGGCCTAGGTGGGAGAGCAACCATCCTGGGACCCACACCTTGGCTGCTGATCCAGAGAACGTGCCCCAAGAAAAGAGAGGGGACCCCACCCAGGGGAGGCTGAGTAAGGGAACCCAGAGAATGGCCACTGCAGAGGGCTTGTCAAGGCCCAGTGGCCAGGTGGGAACTGAGTCCTCGCCACTGGCGGTGACCATTGCCTCCACGGGACCTGTGGCTCTTGCCAATGTAGGAGAGGCCAATCCTGAGCCCCTGACTGTCCGGCCAGAGTGACACCTGACCATGCCACAGGACTGCTGACGTCAACCAACTCTCCATGTGAATTTGTACAAATAGCCCAGGACACCATGAACCCAAAGGTTGGTGGGTGGGGACATTTAGCTGGGTGATGGGGGGGGGAAGAAAGCTTCCCCACCTGTTTCAAAGGGAACTCAACACTGCTCCTAGTGACCTCCATTAGGGGCTAGGGACACCCCTCTTTCTGTCTGAGGCCAGCTCTGCTTCGCCCAGCCCACGGGGAGAAGCGCGTTGCTCTCAGACAGCTCGGCACCCAGCACACAAGGGTCCAGCCCGAGCCTGGGTGCTGCCTGCCAGGGGTGCTCTGCTGGGTGCTCCCAGAAAGGCCCTCGCTTCTGTAGGATGCGGTAATGGTGGATAAAGGACATCGCACATTCAGTAAGACCTATAGGACTGTCCGACACAGAGACTTCAGTTCATAATAGTGTGCCAATCAGGGTTCAGCAATTGCAACAAACATCGCTTACCAAGGCAAGATGTTAATAGTATGAAGAACTAGAGAGCAAGGGAGGCAGAGTATATGCTGCTAACTCTATATTTTCTACTCAATTTTTATAAACTTAAAACTCTATTAATTAAAAGTGGGGGGTCCACTGGCCCAGTGAGCTTTTCTTGCCTTGGGAACGTAAGGCCTTACCCACTAGGTTACGAACAGTTTAAATGTCATTCAGGCAAATATAATCATCGCTAGCAGAAGAATGAATCCCATCTGAGCAAATATCCACATGCGTACCCACCTCCTCCAGCCCTCCCAGCCACTAGCCAGGTGGCTTCACAGCCAGGCCACCAAACCACCAGGCCCCATGCACAAATGTCCGCAGTCCAGCACCGCCCTGGCTCCACCCCTGTGCTCAGAGAGGCCCCTGCACCTCCTTGGCCATTGTGAGTGGCAAATGCTCCCTAGATGCTCAGATTAAAGTGTAAACGAACCAGCAGATGGGTGGGGGCTTTGTATTACATCCCAGCTGCTCTCAGGGCTGGGAATTATTTACTCACAAAGGTGAACACTTTGGTGGGGGGGCTGCTTCCCGCCCGCAGTGTTCCCCTCAGCCGTCCTGATGAATGTGTACAGAAGATCGCAGTGGAAAAGCTGCACGCCCCAGCGGGCCAGCCGCCGCTAAATCTATCCAGGGCTGATGAAAGCCACGTCTGCCCACCCTGACTTAGTCAATTTGTCTGCTCGAGGGGGAAAAAATTATAGTGAAAAGAATGGCCAATTTTAAGACAGAGGTTGCTTTTTCGTTATTGTAAAACATTTAGTATAAAGGAATATTTATCACCCTTTGCTTACTGCTTTCCACTCTAGTTGCTGAAAATAAGGCACCATGTCCCCATTATCCCGAAGGTGGTTAGGTTTGCCTTAGCAAGGCCACCAGGGAGCTGCGCAGCACCCAAAGGTGTGCCAGGATCCTCCCCTTGCTCACCCCACTCCCTCTGCCCCTCAGACCTTCTGGGCGGGTAGAGGATTCTCCCCCATCTCTGTTCAAACAGGAGAAGTTCCAGCGAGGCGCTTACTACCACCCCCCACCTTCACCCCAGGCCCATTCCTGTCCGGGAGGAGCAGAGCCCCTGGCCTGGCTGGTAGGAGACACGCAGTGAGTATCTGCTGCCAGAGCAGAGCAGGGGAGGAGGGCGACATGGGCCCCATACACAGACAGGGAGAAAGCAACTCACTCCCTAAGCGACCCGGCCATGCTGACCACCCGGGAAAGTGCTAGAAGGAGACAGACAGGACCGAGACTGATCTGGCCCGTGATCTTGTGACATGGTCATGATCCTTCAGGATGGCGGTGTGGTCTTGTCTGCTGTTGATGTTCTGTGGCACTGTCTACGTTTAAGAGGAGAACGCCGGGCCAGGTCCTGCATTTCTTTCTCAACACTATTAATTACTGCCATTTAGTTATTCATTCAGTAAATATTTACCGAGGGCCTACTATGTGCTGGGCTCTGTGCTAGGCACTAGGAACACAGGACAAAGAAGGCCAACAATGTCCCTGCCCTGTGGAGCATGTAATCAGGTACAGGAGACAGGACAATGGCCCACGAGCAAATACACAGGGACAGGTCACCCTCTAGGTGCTCTGCAGGGAAACTGAGCAGGATGGGGCTAGAGAGGGACACAGACTATTTTAGGTGGAGTGATCCAAGGATGCCTCTCGAAGAGGACGAATGTAAGCAGAGCCTACATGAAGCAAAGCAGGCAGCCGCAAGGACACTGGGAAGAGCCTTCTCCATAGAGGACCGACAAGAGAGAAAGCCCTGAGCACGGCGTGTGCTTGGCATGTGTGGAGGAAACGCACAGTCCCAGTGTGGACGGAGGACAGTGAAAGTGGAAGCAGGACTGAGGACACAGGGGCAGGCAGGTGCTGGGTCACAGTCAGCGTCCAGCACGGGCGAGCCCTCTGCAAACCACATCCCGCCACTCCCTGTTCTCAGCCTGTGAAGGCTTCCATCGTGCGTAAAGGTGGAATGGGGCAAGAAGGGGGGAGTCCCGGACTAAACAAAATGCAAGTCTGAAGCCAGGAACAGGTCCAGATGGAGGTTGCCATGTTCAGCCCCGCATTTAACAGGGACAGTAAAAATCAGAACATAGTCAAGGAAGATTACCAGGGTGTCGGGGAAGAGTGCCAGAAATCAGATCATGTGAGAAATTGTCCAGGCACCCAAGGCTGCTTAGTTTGAAAAGCAAAATGACCTGGATGGTACAAGATGAAAAACCCCCTGGCCCTCTGCAGGCAGAGAGGACGATGGACAGGAGACCCGCTCCTCCTGGCTCTGCCTTTAACACTCCTACACCTGAAAATCCTCTCTCAATTCACCCCACAGCAAACCTGCCAACTTCTATCATGATCTCATCATCTGGGAACTTGAGGTCAGAGAAACCACCTCCAGGGGGTCATGTTAGTATAACAACAAACATTTATTAGGCACTTACTCTGTGGCAAAGTCTGTTCTAAACACTAGTCAAAAATCATTTGATTTTTATCACTTTATGAGGTGGGCGCTTTTGCTCTCCCCAGTTTATAGATGGAAAAACTGAGGCTTAGAGGAGTAGTAATTTACAAGTAAGAGGCAGTTCCAGGATTTGAACCAAGACTGCTGGCCTCCAGAATCTTCATCCTCAGCCGCTAAGCAGTACAACAGCCCATAAACGCGGGGGAGCATGTTAAAATTGGAGCCCCAAAAAGCTGGCCATGTCCCTTCACTCCTCCCCCCTGCCTGGGTGCTAAGTGACTAGCTCGGAGAGCTCCCTACTGCCATCACCTGATTCTAAGAATTCTAGGAAGGTTAATAGTCAAGGAAAGTAGGCATGGGAGAAAGAAGGAGAAGAAATTAAAAGGAAAAGAAGCTTAGTATGATTAGTGGTTGCCCAAGGCCTGCCTGGTGGGGAGTGGTACTTCATGGGCATGGGGTTGGGTTTCCTTTGGGCATGATGAGAGTGTGCTGGAACTAGACGGGGTGACAGTTGCACATCATTGTGAGTGTATAAAATACCACTGAATGTTACAGTTTAAAATGGTTAAAATGGTAAATTTTCTGTTATGTGTATTTCGTCACAATTTTTTTTAAAATATGTTGTGAACTGATTTCTAATCCCCTTTGATTCCCTGCCAAGTCCCTTCTTGCCCTGTACTTCTTCCCTAGGTCCGTCCTTAGACCGTGCAGGAGAAGCAGTTGGCTTCTCAATAGTTGGTTTCCACACTATTCAGTAGCCTCCAAGGCCCTAGGAGAGTGGGCGAATGTGGGCTGGACAATGGGTAGGATGGGACCCCTGGCTTTCTTTAAAAAATATTTGTAATATGCTTCTTCATTTAGTATAGCGTGGACATTTTCTTCTATCCCTTTAATAGGATCTTCGATATCTGCATGATATTCCATTTCTGGATGTATCTTAATACGCCTTAAAGTTCTGGTTGGTTCACTTTTATAAATGCATTGCAGTGAACGTCATCGTATAGACATCTTTGTGTCCTCCTCTGGATATGCTTGATGCTATTTTTAGTGTCCATGGAAAGAGCTATTTCCTTGGCCCCTGTAATCTGTTGCTCCTATTCCCTGCCCAACAAGGATCCCAAGAGCTCAACTTGGCTCACTGTACCCAGCAGAAGATCCTTAGAGTTTGCACAGAATCTCATTTCAGCCTTAGATCTTCATTGACAAACATATTCATTCCTTTAGAGGGCATTTATTGATCTTCATTTGCAATTTTAATCATTTATTTAGAAAGCATTTGCAGACATTGTTCTAGGACTTGGCTATTAAACCAGGGCATGGATGGGCAGGGAAGACAAACGCAATATTTAATCAAAGGGGGAAAAGGAAAAACATTTTACTGGGGGCTCCCTCTCTCAGCACACTGAACAGTTCCTTTGTCGTGGATTCATCTGACAATTGTACTTAGCTAGAGTCATTTTTAAAGCTCTTTTCTCTTTTAAAAAGAAAAAGGTAAAGGGGACGTGCGTTTTCATGCAATGAGATAGCTGCAGAAGGTTTGTGTTTCGTTTTGCTCAGTGCTAATCTCCACGTTCGACTCCACGCTGCTTTCGCTGAGTCAGCGCCGTTCCTTTAAGTGACCTGATTCTGTAATTCCATTATTAATATTATGAAAATGGCTTTCCTCCACACTATTTTGTGCTATCAATGGAAAACCGCAGTTCCAAAATGCATTAGCCGGTGCAGGCTCCTGCAGGATTATTTGCATCAGTATAAGCCGAGTTAATCATCACCCATCGGCACAATCAGTCACGTGGCGCCCGCACCTCCTGGTGGCTCCTCCGTGCCCGTCGCTGCCAGGCGGGATTTCATTCCGATCCGCATTCTCCTAAGCACTGCAGATTTCCCTGCTCTCTATCACGCCAACATCTTGCCATTTACTTTGCAATTTTTCCTCTCCTGCCCTGACAGTGATGTAAGCCGGTTCCCAGCCCCCTCATCAGCGGGTCGGAGGTGGTAAATGGCATGTGTTAAAACCGATAAGCGTAAGGAGAGAAAGAAACGTTCATTAGGAAAAATAACGAGGGTGAGAATAATAAATGTCAGAACAGCAAAGACGTGTCTTATTTTTCACAGTATTAAATTGCCTTTGGTATCTTAGGCCTTGAGGTAATATTTTACTGATTTACAATTTTCAAAACCAAAATTAAGGCAGAAGGGGACGCAGGGTGGGGAGAGAGTGCAAATTAGATGCTAAGAAGGAGGAATTTGATGGGTTCCAACCCATGCGTCTTTCCTTGTCTCAGCCTCCCTGCATTCTCAGGGATTTCCCACAGACAGTATCGTTGGCAATCAATAGAAAATCAGAAAGTTGGAGGCTGGGGAGAAAAAAAAGGAAGTCAAAGAAATCTTTTAAAATGCTAATCAGATTTCTTTACTCCTCCATTTAAAACTGCACCAGAACTCACCTCTCTGCTGCCCCTCCCTCCACGTGCCCTCTCTGCTCCAGCCCCGTGGGCCTTGCCTCCCGCTCTGGGGGGTTGGGCCTCTGTCTGTCTTTGTGCACATCTGCCGGTCTGTAATGCTCTTCCTGCCGAGCCCTAAATATAGCAAATTCCTGCTTGGCCTTCTGCGTTCAGATGGTGTCACTTCCTTTAACGCCCAAAGAAGAGATTGTTGCACCAATCTCTTGAGCTCTCTAGAGTCCTCTTTTTAACACCCTCCACACTAACCTTTGTTCACCATCTGTAGTGGGTTGAATGGTGGCTCCCAACAAGATATGTCCACGCCCTAACCTCTGCAACCTGAGAATGTGACCTAATTTGGAAGAAAGGTCTTCTTCGCAGATGTTTCTTAAACTGATGAACTCGAGACGAGATCATCCCGGATTATCCCAGTGAGCCCTAAACTCAGTGAAGTGTCCTTATATGGGACACACAGAGAGAAGAGGAAAAAGCCACGTGAAGTCGGGGGCAGAGGTTGGAGTGATACAGCCACAGCCAAGGAACGTCCGGAGCCATGGAACCTGGAAGAGCAAGAAAGGAATCAGAAGGAGAATGGCCTTGCTGACACCTTGATTTTGGACTGGGAAAAGAATTGGGAAAGAATAGATTCTGTTTTAAGCCTCTCAGTTTGTGGTAACAAATTGGCAACTCCAGGAAACTAATACACCATCTCTAATTTCTCACTCAGAACCTAAGACCCGCAAGGTCAGCCACCATGTCTGGATGGGTCACCAGTGTCCCCAGAGAGCTCAGCATGGAGCCCAGCACATGGTCAAATTCAGTGTGTTTGGTGAATGAATGAGCGATTGGATGCAGGGACACAAGTGGTAAGGTGCACAGTCGTATAGGAAGAAATGGTTTTCTCCAACATAGGCCCCCAGCCTGTACGTATCTACGTATCTATGTAGATTAATCTGCACTGTCCTGGACAGGGTTCCTTTGTTTGCAAGTGACAGAGACTCACCCAAGCTATGGGACAGTGTCTTGAGGGCAGAAATGTGGCCAGGCCTCAGAAGACCCGGGGAGAGGAACTGGGAAGAGTATCATGGCCCCACCTCTCACCTGAGCACCCCACCCCACCCCCTCCACCAACACACCCACACACAACTGCTTCTCTCTCCTCTCCTCTCTTGCAACACAAGTTTTTTCTGCTTCTACCTGGTAGAATCCACCAACCCCACTTCTCCTTTGGGGCAATGCAACCACCTAAAAGGAGTGACTCTCTTTCTCCGCCCCAATTCTAAATTCTCAGGGAACAATCTCTGATTGGCCAAATCTCAGTCAATTGTCCACCACTACCAATCAGAGGCAAAGAAGCAAACACCGCTGTAAGGAGTGGCCCAACTGCAGTTCTTAAAGCAGAGGCACTAAGGAGATAACGCGGTAGGTGCCCCCTCCAGCTACCCTGAGCTTGTGCTGTGTCTCATACACCTGGATGGCCGTTGTCTCTGGAGCCACCACATCCTCCCCGGGCTGCCAGCCTTGTGAACGGACAGCCACAGTCAGCCTGTGCTCAGCCCGAATCCCCCCACACTCATGTGTGTTCTCTTTCATTAACTGCCAGCCCCTGCTGCATGCACTATGGGCCATGTTTCCCGGGAACTCTGAGGGAGCTATGCCCGGCGCCGCACCAGCCTGAGCAGGCACCCAGGGCCGGCCCAGGGCTCTCGCACAGCACGGTCCCTGCCAACGGCCAGCAGGCGGGGCGGGAAACATTACAGGAAGTGCTGCAAGTGACACCTCTCTGAGACATGAACCCCGCCCCCCCGCAGCCTCTGCAAAGTACTAAAGGTGAAGTCAGTCTCCATCAGCTGGTGCCAGAGCCTCGGGGCTCTTACGGATATGATTATGCCACAGGGAAAAGCCACATTAAAAAAAAAATCTACTATAAGAAAAAAACTCCTTAGAGGCACTTATCCTAATGAAGCTACATTAAATTACGACAAATAAATGTCCTCTTGAAAGAACTTCCGTAGATAAAAAGCTTCAGCTGGCTGAAGGGGACCAGAAATGTCAGAACTGAAAGGGAAAGTAACAAGGATCTAATGCAGTGGCCTCCCTTGACAGATGGGGACGCCCCGGGGGACGCGGGGACTAGCCAGGTCTCCCCATGAGCAGCAGGGAAGCCCCGGTTGCAAGTTGGCTAGCGCTGCCCGGGTTCCGCGGGTGCCGCACGGCTCCTCTCTCCTCATGCAACAGTGAGTCGAACCAGGAGGGGAGCAAGTAAAGGGAGTTAAGGAAAAGGAAGGACAAAACGCAAAGGAAAGGCAAACAAACTCATCCTAGCGGATCAGAACACATTATGGTCGTAACAGAGTAACGCGGGTGTTCCGTCTGAAAGCGGCTGGGACGCAGCAAGTGTTCGGTGAGTGGCGTTTAATCCATTGCTGACTGTGGGTCTGGGGTAAGGCTCATCATTTACAGACAACACAGTCTCTCTTGAAAGGACAACAGTCAATTTACAAGAATACTCCATACGTTTATTTTGTCATTGCTTCTTTCGCAAAACAACCGTGTTCTTTTGTGCATGAAGACAAAGACCGACAAACTCTTAAGGGGGAAGGGGAGAGATTTTTGATCCTAATCCCCATTCATTTCTGGACTCCATAATGGTTTAGGGAGCCTCCACCGTTGGAAAGTTGACGATCTCTTCGCCGGGGTCTCCAGTCGCCAGCACGCAGGCCCTGCTGCGCTGGTGGGGGGCTCTTTGCAAACGTGAGTGTCCGAGGCATCCTCCCTGGATGCTGAATCTTGCTGACCTTCCAGAGGAGCGCAGGCAGGTCTGCAGTGGAGACAGTTGCTCCACTTTAGCTACATTAAAACAGGAACAACCCCCCACAAGCTTGTTCCAGCTGCTCGTTGCCACTGGAATCATGGGTCAAGTTGAGCTAACTGATGAGCTGCATCAGCCAGGCCTAGAGATAAACTGGAAAAATGGTCCATAGAAATTAATATATCCCTGTGAATTAAAAATTAGAATGGTCAATTTCAGTCACCAAATGCATTTGGTGCACACTGATCCCATTGCCTTCCAAAGCAACCTTCCTTCTCTTCTCTCCTGGTTAACTTCCCAGGGGAAGCTTTGGTCTGGGCAGAACATCAGAGAATCAGCTCCTTTCCAAAGACTAAACAGAACACATGCTAAGCTCCCGTGCCTAATCGCCACATTTTTGCCTGAGGGTCAAGGCTGTATGTGTGGAGATGACAAGGAGAAGCTGCCATAGGACCTTGTCCTATTTCATTTGCACAGAGACTCTGGGCAGTCGGGTCCCCTGTGCCCAGAGCAGGAAGTAGCCATCAGTATTGTGCCAGGTGCTCTGGAAAAGAGCCCTCTTGCTCCCATATCTTGCTCCTAAATTCCTGTGCCCCATGCCCCTTACACCTTCTTATTAATTACAGAACTGAAGCTTAATGAAGGACCTTAGCTCTGAAAGAGACAGGACTCCCAGGGAAAGAGAAGCAAAGCACGTTTTGCTGGGCGAGGAGAAGGGGGGCCAGCGGCTGAAGCTTAGCAACCACGGAAGGGGAGCTCACAGAATAGTGGGATGGGACAGGGCTCACAGGGCTACCCGAGGCGGACAAACAGTCTGGCTGTCCGGAATCCTCTTCGGTGCTGTGCAGAATGGAGGTGACACATCTGAGATCTGCTGGGGCCCTGGGAAGACCACCCACAGGTGAAGACATACGTAGGAAAAATGTATTTCACTGTCTTGCCATCCACCATAGGAAGACAAAAGATGGCACTAAGTACCACTGTAAACAAGTTCAACCTCTGTGGAAAGCAATATGGAGATACCTCAAAGCAATACGAGTAGATCTACAATTTGATCAGCAATTCCACTACTGGGCATCTACCAAAAGATCAGAAGTCACTTTATGAAAAACACCTGCACTCGAATGTGTATAGCAGCACAATTCACAATTGCAAAGCTATGGAAACAACCCAAGTGCCCATCAATTCATGAGTGGATTAATAAAATGTGGTATATTGTACACTATGGAGTACTACTCAGCTTTAAGAACAATGGTGATATAGCACCTCTTGTATATTCCTGGATACAGCTGGATCCATTCTACTAAGTGAAGTATTCAAGAGTGGAAAACCAGCACCACATGTACTCACCAGCAATTGGTATAACGGATCAACACCTAAGTGGACACATAGGAGTAACATCATGGCGTATCGGAGGGTGGCAGGGGGGAGGAGGGAAGGGGTATATACAACCAAAACCAGTAAGATGTGCAACGTTTGAGGGATAGACACGCTTGAAGCTCTTACTCGAGGGGGGAGGGGGGCATGGGCAATATATGTAACCTTAACACTTGTACCCCCATAATACGCTAAAATAAAAAAATAAAATAAAATAAGCCACTTCCTCTTTCCTGGTCGTGTGTCAGTGAGCATGTGCTCACTAAGTAAATGTCGCTATCATTATGGTTGCCTATATTTTCATAAATAAGGTCCTTCAAAGACCTTCTGGGAATGGAAGATCTGCTTCAAACTGGCCTTCTGTCTCAGTCTATGCCTTCTGCGGCTGGAACCGTCTCTCAGCAAGTGTGTCCCCCTCAACACTTTCACCAGCCAACGGCCCCGCTACCCTGGCTACGTGAAGAGTTAGCACAGACTTTCCAATAGATTGCTGTCCGGAGGATCTGCACAGTGATGCACGTGCCTTTTCGTTCATCTCTGTCCCCTCCACACTCAGGGGCACACCAGCTACTTAAAAAAGAAAATAAATAAAAAGCTTTCAGGAGACAGAAAAAATTCTCCTGTAATCCCTGTTCTAGTCTCATGATGCACTCAATACAGAGGAGTGCACTGAAGCAAATGTTCGAGTCCACTTGCATTAAATAATGCATGTGCTGTGTTTCCCGTTGCCCAGCACACCGGGTCTCCGTGCAATAATAAAGGTTACCTCCGCTTTTGTAGTTCAAGTCCTGGCATAGCAACCACTTTGTAAGAGTCCTGGCTCACCTCTGCATTCATTTATCTCCTTACAAAATAGGTCCTTCACAATTGTCACTTCAATCTGATTAGGATGGGGAAATAAAAGGAAACCAGGATTTAAATAGGCTAGTGAGCTTGAATGCGATTCTATCGAACACACAAAATCATTAGCAAATGTGAATGTGACTGATGTAATATTGCATTAAGAGCTGTTAAGAAAAGAGTTCGTTTTTTGCAGCGTTCATTTATGGGAAGGCCGTTCAAACGTCTCTTCCTCCCCCTCCTACCGCTCCTCCTCCCTGCCCACTTCAGCCCTTGATTCGTTTTCCCTCTAAGATGTAGATACAAGACAGTCATCATTCATTCTAACTAGCTTCTGTCTGGTGCATATGACATGCCTGGAACTGTGCCAACCGTTGGAGACCCAGAAATGCAAGCGTCCTGTGTGGTCCCTGCGATGTGCTGCTGTGCATGGGAAGGACCTTAATGTGGACAAAGAGAAAATGTTTGGGGGCCACAGAGAAGGGAGGTGCTGTAAACTTGGGGCCTGTGGGGAGGCGTCACGGAGAGCACAGTTCAGAAGAGCTTTTAGGCATGAGGAGCTCACCAGGGAGAGCAGGGGCCCTGTGTGTGGAGGACACAGTAGAGATTTGAAGGAGAGAAAGTGCTTAGCATTTTCGTAAATGGCAATCCCAACAATAAGTCTAAAAGGAAAATTATTTGTGTTTTTGTATTAGGAAGGTTGTTGACCACGAATAACAAAAGCCATACCACCAGTAAATAGCTTAAACCATGAAGCCAATTATTGTTTATTTAATAAATATTCTGGGTGTCTCTGGTTTCTGGTCAGTTCCAGGGTCCATTCTGTGGCTTAACTATGTCTTCAGATGCTCGGAGTCCGATCATCCTGTTCTACCATCCTCAGAGCACGGGCTTTCTGACCTCATGATGGTGCCACCTTGCAAGGTACATTTGCATTTCCCTCTTGTCACCTCAAGATTGCAAGATGGCTGCCACCGCTGCAGACATCACATCTTCATGCTAGTGTCCCAAGAAGGAGGGAAGAGGTGTGGCCCATAGGAGTCTTGTATCAGAAAATAAAAACATTCCAGAATCATGCCCTCTTCCCTCAACTGACTTCCTCTTAGGTCTAAAAATAGGTTATTGTCCACTCGTTATACATAAAGGAGGAGGTGAAGGTGAGTATCTGGCAAGAGAAAATGGAAATACCATGACTGGATTGGATCCATCCTGATTTGCCTCCTGGGGAAGAATACATGGTTGGGTCGGTAAGCAACAGTGCTGCAATTGTCGAGTCTGTTATGTGATGTTTCAGACACACAAAACAGCATCAGGGGTAATGTAACAAAACCCTCGGTACTCATCACCCAGCTTAGAAAACAATTCATTGTAGTTAAAGCCCTGTATAGGACCCTCCTACATTGCTCCCCTCTTCTTTCCTCCTGGAAAGAACCCCTGCCCTGACTTGGGAAGTTCATCATAGGCTTGCATTTCTTTTTTTCCTCTCTCTGTCTAACTTGCTAGCTCTCTTTCCATCTATCTATCTGTATACACACAGAGAGAATCTATTCAACTTATAGAATTTTTGCATCTATTGAACTTTCATGTGGATATCATATTACAAATATCCATTTGCAAATTGCTTCCTTTGATCGATATTATGTTTGTGGAATTAATCCATATTGATTTATGTAGCTCTAGTTCATTCCTTTTCACTGCTATATGGCATTCCATTATAGATGTAGCATAATTTATTTCTCCTCTGGATGGACATTAGGAAGTTTCCAATATTTTACTGTTATAAACACTAATTCTATGATTATTTTCATATCTCCTGACATGTAGGTGGGTATGTATGTATACATGTATATAGCTATATCTGTATATATGTGTATTTATCTGCCTACATCGTCTGCATACATATATCCACATATATGTGTATTTGTGAATCTCAGGTATATATCCAGAAGTATAACTCTGAGTAATGCTGTATGCATATCTTCAACTTTACTGAACGTTGCCAAATTTTTCTCCAAAGTGGTGGTACCACTTTTCATTTCTGACAGCTGTGGAGAAGAGGTCCCATTACTCCGCATCCTCGCCAAAACTTGGTACTATCACACATTTTAGTTTTTGTCAGCCCAATGGTGTGAAACAGCATCTAATTTTAGTTTCCATTTGCATTTCTCTCATTACTCCTGAGGTTAAACATCTTTTCCTGTGTTCATCAGCAATTGATGTTTCCACTTCTTCAGTGAATTATCTCTTAACCATTTTGCCCATTTTGACCAACCTGTTTGTCTTTTTCTTTTTGAGTTAGAGAAGTTCTTTATATAGTCTGGATATTAATTCTTTATTTCTTCTTAACTGTGAGTGATCTTTTTATTTTCTCAAAAGTACCTTTTAATGGACAAATTATTTTTTGTTTGGAAGCAGATCAATTTTTTCAATTTTTGCTATGGTTTGTGAGTTTGGAATATTATGAAATTTTAATTTTTGACATGAAGTTCATAAAGAAGTTCTATTTTCTTGTAAACATATTTACACTTTCATATTTAAGTCTTTCCATAATTAGATATTTAACTCACATGACTTTAGAAGGATGTCATTTTATTTTCTCCACACTAAAAACCGATGGCCAAGAAATGAAAAACATTCATTGAGGAATGCAGTTTTCCCAGGGCTCTGCAACACCAACCACACGTGCACGGATGGAGTTGCGTCTGGCCAGTCTCTCCCTCCCCAGTGACCTCTTCACCTGGCCAACACTTTTGCTCTAGCTTCGCTGTCGGCCTTGATATCCGGTAGGAAATTCCCCTGCCTTGTTCTGTCCCTCCTAAGTTGCCCGTCCAGGTTTGGCGCTCCGCATAGCATCAACGTGGCTATTCTCCTCTGGCTCCTTTCGTCATTCTATGCGACACTGGCTGTTTGCTTTACTCTTTAACCCACTAATAGCTTCTCTCCCCTTTTTACTTACACATTCGGCAAAGAAAGGGACGTGTTGTACTTCTTCACGCCGGAAGATTCATTTCCCATTTGAAGTCCCATCTGAAAACCCCACTAGCAGAATTGCACTCACCAGGACAAGTCCAGTGTGGCAGTCAAACGTGGCCAGACCGCGTTAGTGAGCGTGCAGCAGGGGAGTGAGAGAGCAGGGGTCTGTTATACGCAGTGTGCTCCCTACAAAAGCCACGGAAAGCCACCGTGCACAGGGACTTCAGGAAACCCAGTGTCGGGTGAACAGCAAGAGGGATGGGGTTGGAAGGGAGGAATTGTAAGTTGGCTCCATGTTTTCCCTCCTTTGTCATGGCCCAGCCCAAGCCCTGCCGGCACCCCCAACCCACTCTTCCCCCCTTCTTTTACTTGACAGGGTGAGAAGGAGTTTTAGGGTCCAGCTCCCTCAGGCCTCCCCTGGCTGTCCCCAAAGTCTCAGGGTCTAATTTAATGTTCAGATAGTCTCATTCCAGGTTCCTACCATTAATTCTCCTGAGGAATTCCTATTTCTCTTTCTGTGTTTCTAACTGATATATATTCCTATTATAAGCAATTTCAGAAATGGTGTAGGGGAAGGTGTAATGAGAATATATGTCCCATTTCTCAGATAGGATCTGAGCCTCAGGGAGATGAAGCAACTTGTTCCAGAACTTGTGGTGTGTCTGAGGCTAGAATGTCAAACGCCTAATGCCCCGGCCAAGGGCCACCCGTCTTTCTGCGCCTCCCTCTTCTCTCGCTGGCCTTCTGGCTCAGGGAACTAAAACTCCAGTGGCAAATTTGGCTGACGAGGACTTCTCATGCCCTTCTTCGCTTATGGCTTTCCAGGAGGCCAGAGTGAAGCAGAACTTGCCTTCAAAGAACAAGGAACTTGCCACCCGGCTGTGGAGTCGCATGGGTGGGCGTGCGCGTGCTGGGCAGACCCGCTCTAATAATTAAGTGTGCACCTGAAACCCGGCAGGAATGGTGACCGCCTCGTTGCCAATTCCCTTTTAATTCTTAACCCCTTAGCACTCCGCCTAACGCAAGGAGTTTTAAAAGCTCCTCAGGAAAGGAGGGAAAGTCTTGACACCACTTAAAAGCTCTACTCACCCTGCAGGAGCCGTCGTTTTGCTATCAGTGTGGAAACCTCGACAGAGAAGTGGGGCCAGACACCTGACCAGAGTTCAGAAGAAAGGACTGCCACCAACAGGGAGCGTGTTAGTGCAGGCGAGGAGGGTCGCAGGGCGGGCTCGCTCAAAGAGAAGACCCTCCCAAGGGGCAAGCGGGTTGAGCCCGGTTGAAACACGTTCATTCCCACAGCATGGTCCCTGGTGTGCAAATGGTCGTCAGGTCCCACAGCTCAGGGGTCCAGGCACCAGGCATAGGTGCATTTAGTGTCTGCTCTAGGTAGGCATGGGGTGAGGCCCGAGAATTTGCATTTCTAACCTGTTTCCAGAAAAACTGATGCTGCTGGGACAGGAGTCACTCCGTGAGAGCCACAGCTCCAATCAATCCGGTGAAACATGGTAAGCATCTCAAATGCTGTTTATAGGTACCAGGTACCGCAGGGCAGAGAAATAAATAAAACACAGTACATCCCACCAGGAGCCTTAAGAGTCGAACACCTCCCCTGCCTGCTTACAAAGATCCTTTTGAGATAAGGTTGTGTTTCCAAAACACAGCTACTCAAATAAACCATCCATGAAGCTTGAAAATATGCACACAGCCAGGATTCTCCCAGAAAATGTGGAATTAGTGCATCTGCGATAGTAGCCAAGAATCTGTTTTTTCAACAAGTTCCCCAGAAGAGTCTTATGCTCATGAGAATTTAAGACAGACTTGAATTGAGACATGGTTTTCCAAAAAAGCCCAGAACTTCTACTACAAGGGATGTCTCAGAGTAACCCATTAAGACTCCCACCTTCATTACCTATCGTTTGGCACACATAATTACCAAAATAAGCCAGCTTCTTCCTGTAAAATATGCTAAACAGATTGCTCTGAAATAACAAGGGGGAGACAAAAAGGACCGAGGACAGGTATATTTTAGTAGGCCTGGGCAGAGGGCCCGAGGCACAGAGAGAGGTGTCCAGGGGTGATATGACACATTGCAAAATGTGGCCACGGTATGTTCCAGCTCCTCCCCAAAAGAGGGGGAGTCTGTTTGCCGACTCCTTGAATCTGAGCTGTCCTTGTGACCTGCTTTGATTAATAGATTATGACAGAAGGGACATTGGGCAAGTTCCAACTCTAGGCCTCGACAGGTCTGACAGCCTCCCTCTTTGCTGCCCTTAAAACCCTGCAGTCCCCTGGGAGCCAGCCTCGGCTGGACCACATGGGCAAGCCCCTGTGCAAAGCCACTGTAATCCTTCATAGACCAGCAAACTCAGCCTCCGACCGGAAAGGCTTGAGCAAGATAGACAAGATAAGCTGGAGCCCAGCCCAAATTACCTGCGGGTTCATGAGACACATAGATGGTTGCTGTTTGAAGCCACCAAGTTCTAGGTGGTTGTTACATAGCCAAAGTTAACTGATACAGGAAGGAGGCCAAGGAATGTCAGGGCAACCCTGAAAACCATTTCCTTTACTGGGGCATTATGCCTTAGGTCAGATCCAGTTAGGGTGCCCCTGCTGTATAATAAGGCCACCACCCTATGGCTTCCCCATCCCCACATCCTCCCAAACTTCAAAGCTTTCCTCTGTGTGTTAAACAGGAAAATGTAGATCCTCCAAATGTCCCAGCTTTGCTCATTGTCCTTTTGCCCTGAACTTGGCCATAGATTCATTGCAGAGGGGAAACAGCAGCCATTTCACCACTTGTTTCATTTCCACCTGAGAAGGCAAAGCAGGTCTATCCCCTATACACAACCTGCCAAGGAGTATCCTGCAACATCTAGTGTATAATTGAACCCCGAAAGAGTCTCTGTGCAGTGGGGCATTCACACTGGGCTAACTCTTAGCAAATAGGTTAGCTGCCCAAGCAAGTGGCCAGTTGGCAGGATACAGTGAGCAACGGACCAGCAATCTGGCAACCTGGGCTTGCTTGTCCTCTTTGGGATCTCAGGATAGGCCCTCAGCCTCCCTGGATCCCAGGTCTTCAATTGTTGTATTTGATAACCAACAAATTTCTAGAAATCTATAGAACAGGGCCTAAAGCTCAGGTAAGAGATCTGGGCCACAATTCTGGACAGAACTGGCTTTGTGAATGTGCAAGCTCTCAGTAGCACAGCGCCCCGGGCTCATTAGAGCCCCATGCTTGCTTTAATGCTCAGTTGTTGCCCTCATATAGCCTTAACGATTTTATCTTTGAACTTGGCTTTCATAAGTGAAGTCCAGTGAGACGATAGAGCATGCACGTGAGCAAAGGAGATGCATGCAATATGCATATCTGCCCCTGTTCTTTGACAGTGCATTTGCATATGGTGTTCATGGTTCCCCATAAGCACAGAATTCTAGTGGACCAAGGTGTGTGGGGCTTGAGCTAAACTCAGGCCTATGACGAAGCAGGACACTGGCAGCCCTGAAAGGTCATGCTTTCTGTTCAAAACTTGCTTCCAATGCAGAAAGAAGGCAATGGAATCTATGGAACATCAACAACAAGGGAACATGTTTTGGGTTGAACTGTGTCCCCCTCCCAAAAATTCATACTCTGAGTACCTCCAAATAAAACCTAATTTGGATAAATTCAGTTAGGATAAACTCATACTAGTTTAGGGGCCACCTCATACTGAATTAGGTGGCCCTTAATCCAATATGACTAGTGTCCCTATAAAAAGGAGAAATGTGAGCACAGTCACACAGATGGGGAGAACACCTTGTGAAGATTGGGGTTCTGTTGCCACAAGCCAAGGAACTACCAGAAGCTCAGAGAGAGGCCTGGAGGATTCTTCCCTCGCATCTTCAGAAGGAACAAAATCCTGCCAACACTTTGATCTCACATCTCTAGCCTCTAGAATTATTAGACAACAGATTTCTGTTGTTTAAGCCACCAGTTTGTGACACTTCATTATGGCAGCCCTAGGAAACAAACCCGGAAGCCGGTCATATCCTTTCTTCCCCATGTTACTTCCCAGTGTTAGTCAACCACTAAGGCTGCAAATGATGACCCAGAAGGAAAGGGAAAGGCAGGCAACTCATAAATCCTTTCCTTTCCGTCCTTCCTTGCTCATCAGTAAGCCAAGGGCACAGACTGTTGGTAGCATGTGTGCATACCAAAAAGTGAAATAAAAACAGTTGAATTACTTTTATGCAACATTTCTACTATTCTGTTAAGAACAAAATATATACAGTTATATAATTTCGGTAATTCTGCATACAAATTAAATGCTCTTTTATTTATTTGCATTTAAAAGTGGCATTGCATGATATAAAGATGAACAGTGAAATTCATGTTAATAATGAAAATTTTAAGTTTTCTTTCCTTAGAACAACATTAAAGAGCAAATATAAAACACCATAATAAGTTGGAAAAGAGACCCTGGGAGACAGGAAAAAGCTTTATATTTTACTATCTTTAACAGCACTTTTTTCCCTTCTTTTGAAAAAGGGGACCTGCATTTCCATTTTCACTGGGCCGTGAAAATTATGTAGCCAAGAGCTGTAGGAAATGACATTTCTACTCTGAGCTCTGAACTTGTGCTTTCCCCCAGCACCTTAGTCTGGATCTTCCTGATATAACTAGATAGTTCTTATAAATATATCCATAAAGAAAACACCATTTTTACATAATCATATTGCTCAGGTGTGCAAAGATGTCACCTTTTTCATTTCTCTACAGCTGATACTTAGATCTCAGGGCTCCATTTGCCACTGATGATGGCAGGGAAAAAAAAAATGTTGATATTTCAAGGAAACTCAGTGACTTTGGGATTTGAACTCACTCAAATCAGGATACTCTCCTGTGCTCTCCCTTTCCTCCCTAGGGAGAGATTAAAATCGGAGAAACAAATCCCTGGCCTCCTGAATCAGTCCGTGCTGATATATGTTGAGATATAATATTTAATAAGGCCTTGGCCATCAGCGCCTGTAGATGTGGCTGACATGTCTGTGCCGTGGCCTACGCTTCCATCCACAGGGCGCTCCTGTGTCCTTCTCATGCTCACTGAGAGGTCCCTCCAGGTCCTGCAGCCTCCCTCAGCCTCCCTCAGCCTCCCTCAGCCTCCCTCAGCCTCTTCTCACTTCTCTTGGGCCTGCTGAAGACTCAGGGGTTTGACTAAAGTCTTCCTGTCCTGGCCCAAGGGTTGGCAAACGATTGTCCAGGGGCCAAATCTGGCCCACTGCCTGCCTTTATAAAGTTGTGCCAGAATAAAGTCAAGCCCATTCATTTCCATGCTGTCCACAGCTGCTTGCACTCTACAATGGCAGAGCAAGGTCGCTGGTACAGAGACCATATGGCCCCCAAGCCTTAAACACTCATCTGGCTCTTTACAAAGCTTGCCATCCCTGACTTAGATACACTGGCTCTTCTACCTACTGCTCCTTCAATGCAGTGGCTCTTGTTTTCTTCTTTAGGAATTCTTCTGCCTCCTCAGGAAGCAAGACTTAAGTTCTCTCTACTTTGAAGAATCCCTCAAACTTGCCAGGAGTTTCTATCAACCCCAGAGACATTTGTCCTTGTCCCAAGATGAAGAACCATTATTGCCTTAACCCTAGTGACATTTTCTTTGCCTGTCCTCTGCCACCAACAAGCCATCAGCTCTTTCTTGCCACTTTGGACAGACTGATTTTACATCATTGTGCATTGGCCGCTTGCATTATCTACTTATGTATAATGAATTGCCCCAAAAAGTAGTGGCTCAAACAAACACTTTAATGTCTCACAGTTTCTCTGGGTCAGGAATCTTGCATGACTTGGCTGGGTGGCCCTGGCTCGATGTCTCTCATGAGGTTGCCATCAATCTGTTTTTGGCCTGACTTCGGTCATCTCAGGGAACAACTGGGGAAGGATCCACTTCCAAGCCTGTTGGCAGGTCTCAAAAGATCTGCATCCAAGCTCACTCACATACACCTCTCCACAGGGCTGCCTCATGGCATGGCAGCTCGCTTCCCTCACAGCGAGCAAACCAAGAGAGAGAGAAAGACAGCTTACAAGACACAAGATTAAAAGATGGTATTTTTGTACGCTATTCCTGAAGTTGCATCTTATCACTTCTGCTGTATTCTACTTGTTAGAAGAAAGTCAGTAAATCCACCCACATTGAAGGGAAGGGGCATGGAGCCCCACTTCTCCAAGGAGGAGTATCGAATAACATGTGGACATGGCCTCAAAACCACCATGTCATATCACTCTAAGGCTTAAGGTACACTCTGGCCTCAAAGCGCCATTTGTCCAAAAACAAGGAAACAACAAAGCTCTCACAGTAGAAAGCTTGAGCTATCAAGACGATTGTGTCTACCACTATCTTTAAAAATCCATTTAGAAACCTGTTTGAAAACCATTGGTGCCATCTTAAGGCTCCTTTCATCTCATTCCTCCCACGGAAGCAACGGGAAGGAGGGAATAAAAGGAACCAGCAAGAAAAACCTTAGTTATTATCTTCTAATTTTATCCTACTTTATTTACTTGACAAAGCATGTTGAAAAATCTATCTGTTCAGACAAAGAAAGCAAGCAGATAAGATGAAATAAATGAATACAGGTAGCCAGAGCAAGCTGTATAAATCCTCCACGGTTCTAAGCACATGCCTATTTAAGTAAACATTTAGATCCACCTAAAAATGTTAGCAAACAAGTCTTTCAGAAACAGATTCCTGAAAAGCACCAACTGAAGAAAACCAAAGCCACAACTCAAATGGGATCCATTCCGTACACGTCGGTATTTTCTTCTCTGGCTGTTCCAGGATCCTTGCTCAATCCCACAACAGCAAAATTTTCAGAGGGGTCCAACTCTAAGATCTCAGCCTTGATTAAGACTAATCAAGAAGATTAAAAACATTTCTTCAATTTCCTCCTTCTAAGGATACCTAAGGATAAAAATAACAGCTCCTATTGCCTGTGTACACAGTATCTATCACTTCATTTGGCACTTTATATATTAATACATTATCTCCTGTAATTTTCGTCCTCACAACAACCCTAACATTAGGTTCGTCTATGTGGATGTCCCCTGATCCTCCAGTTCCCAGGGCCAACAAGGAGTACTGGTACCAAGTCAAGCCAAGGATGGAGTGATCACAGACACAGAGCAATTTGATACAGTTTATCACATAAAAGAAAGAACAAAAGTAAAAAAGGAAGCTATACACAGTGAAAATACATCCCAGACAGACTGCAATGGGTCAGTCTCCAGAGTGGGGAAAGATGGGGAAGGCTGAGCACATGTTGCCTTTTATAGGCCCACTAGTTTGTCCCGCCTTTCCCCTGACGGAATTGGATGCTGTTTCCTACCTTTGGGAGTGATTGACAGGTTGGTGTTATAGAACAGATCACATGACAGGTTACATAACAGGGTAAATTATATAACAGTTTCCCATTCTGCACATGCATCTTTTCTAGAATTTTCCATGAAACTCCACCCATGTTACACTAATTAGATGGTAATAAGCTCTAAGTTACTAGGAACTTTTTACTATGTTCCCCACCAGGGAACAGTTCCTAGGCGCAGTTTGGTTCCTAGCTAAAATTTGGTTCCTGCTCTCCGTCCTTAGCCACTTCCTTGCCACCTGTTTACCCCCCACCTGGTCTAACACTGCCAGAGAAATATTGTTATCTTTTTTTCAGATGAGAAAACAAGTTCAGAGAAACTACTTTATTTGCCTCACTCCACACAGCTATAAGATAATGAAGCCAGAATTCAAAACCCATATCTATCTGAGTCCTGAATCCATTATCTTTACAGTATTACATACAAGGAATACATCTGGTACACACATCTTCCTAGAGTATCACTGATCTAAAAAGATTTGGGGGAAAATGTTGTTTCCTTATTAAACATGAAAACATGTATAGGAAACAATAATATGCATTGAGTTTTTTTGGTTGTTTTGTTTTGTTTTTTGAGACAGGGTCTTGCTCTGTCTCCCAGGCTAGAGTGCAGGGGCATCATCATAGCTCACTGCAGCCTCAAACTCCTGGGCTCAAGCGATCCTTCTGCCTCTGCCTCCCGAGTAGCTGGGACTACAGGCATATGCACCACCACGCCTGGCTAAGTTTTCTATTCTTTGTAAAGACAGGGGTCTCAGTCTTGCTCAAGCTGGTCTCGAACTCCTGGCCACAAGAGATCTTCCTGCTTCAGCCTCCAAAAGCGCTATTGAGGATTACAGGCATGAGCCATCATGCCCGGCCAAGCATTGTTAGGATCAAATAAATGTCATGTTTTTGGCCTGTGGATTTGGAACACACATCAGGATCTCTGGACAGATGAGTTTCCTGTTGGTTGCAGTTGAGGTTTTCTTCCTTGAAAAAGTTCAAGAAGCCCATCACTCCCTGCCCCCTCCCAAGTAAGCAAATAGCAAACTGAGAATATCAAGGCACCAGATAAAGGTTTTGATTTTTCTTTTTTAATACTGTCTTGATTCCTTGTGGGCCTTTCCCAGCACGGCAACAGCAACTACTGCTCAAGTGCAGATGGATGACTGTTTTGTTCCTTCGTGCCCACCCCACCCCGCCTTTGAGTCCCCAGTGCAAGCCTACCGAGATCCTTGCAGGCGAATGAAACGTTGTGATTTGCTTGTGGATTTCAAAGGTAACTCCCTGGGAAATAACACAGCAATTGTGTTCAAACCCACCTGAGTACAATGTTTTTGCTTATTAGAAAACAAATCTTTGCATCAGGAGCCAGCCATACATAAGATGAGAAGAACCCCACTGCGTCTTTCTGAAGGTTACTTCTAATTCCTTGAGATGTGCTAATGTGTCATATTAGAGAGGAAAGTGAAGGGAGCAAAGTGGGGCCATTTGAAAGAGAACAGCTCAATAATTTAGACCCCATTTGCCAAAAATAATAGGCAGGGCATTTTATAGAGTGAGGACGTGTCACAAACTCTGTGGACATGGCTCTCATCTCTTCCTCACAACAGCCCCTAGCAGGTAAGAATTGTTTCCCCATTGTACACATGAGGAAAATCGTGTGTATAAATGACGCAAGAGGTCCAGGAACTTCCACAGGTCACTGAGCTAAAAAGTAGCAAGGCTGAGCCCCCAACTGCCATCTGGTTCTGCAAGGCCATCAGTCACAGAGGCGTGCTAGACTCTAGAAGTACCTATAATACAACGGTCGTGACATTCTTATTTCCGATTTAATTGGAAGCAGAAGCTTTCGTGTCTCTTGGAAGGGCTGGGGGAGCAGAGGTCAGTGAAGCAAGTGCCTGAGTTCCTGAGCCTCTGAAGTGCCCTGGCCATGGGAAGCAGCATGCAGCCCAAGGTAAGTGATCCCTAGAAGCTCGCTCAGGAGCTGCTGCAAACCCCACGCCAGCCGTCTGCCCACACCTCTGTCCACAATTACCTGCAGGATGGTAGCTTCAGCTTCTCTTCCACTTTCCAAAGCTCACTCGAGTGCCTCTGACTGGCTGAAGATAACCTGGAACTCATGCAGGGAAAAGGCTTGGGGGACGTGTAAGTCCCTGCTTCTTCCCTGCAGTGCAGAAGAAAATGGACAAAGAGACAGTAATGGTAGTGAGCTGACCACAGCCAATCCGACCAAAATGGTAAATAGTATATATATCACCAATTCTAATCCCAATGTACAGACATGAGACTATTGAAAGGGTTTTTTTAAAAAAAAATGGATGCCACCATTGTATCATTCATCTACGGCTGCATAACAAACCACTCAGTATTTAGTGCCTTAAAACAACCACCGTTTATGTGGCTTGCAGTTCTCTGGGTCAGCAATCTGGCTGTGCTCAGCTGGCCCCTCTCGTGTGCCTGTGGTCAGTTTCCAATAAATCACATGCATGGCTCCATTTCTCGGGGGTTGGATGGCTGTTTGCTAGAGCAGTGGGGAAGCGGGGCTCATTTCTCTCATCTTCCAGCAGATGACCCAGGTGCATTCCCAGGGAAGCTGGCAGGGTTTTTGGGGTGTGAACAGAAGCTGCCAAACCTCTTGAGGCCCAGCTCAGAACTGGCATCATGTCGTTTCCCCTACATTCTACTGGACAAAGCAAGTCACGGGGCCGACCCAGATTCAAAGGGTGGAGAGACAGACCCCACTACTGATAGCAGACCCGCAAAGTCACACACAACGTGAGTTCACAGGGCAGAATGCTTGCAACTTTTGCAAACGTCTACAAACCTATCAAATCATTTGGGGGCAGAGTAAGGTAGATAAAGTTCAGCATGTTTTTTCAGCTCCCCGGCAGGACTTTTATGCACTAATGTGGATTTTTAATCTCCAAGAGGAAAGCACGGTGTGTGGCGTTGCCCACGGCTCAGGCAGCCGTACAGCACTTTTGGGTTTGTGCATCCTGTGGGCCTGGTGCTCTGCAAATCATCTCGAGAAACACCACTCTGCCTCATTGTGAATTCCAGGCCGGCATCAGGGATGATATCTGTTTTCATAATTTAGGGGATGAAATGCCATCAATGGCGGAGACATTTTTGTGGGGACAAATGCCTTGTTTTATAGCAGGGTCGAGAGGAGAAAATAAAGCACCGTATAGTCCCTGGACCTGGGAAGACCACAGCAGGTCCCAGCAGCCCCCGCAGTCACTACTGCTTCAGGGCCAGCTGAGCTGCTCGATCATGACAGTTCTCTGCACTTATGGAAGGCCTGTCCTGCGAGGACGCCGAGTAATTTA